GATCAGCCAGCCGCAGCGCAGCCGGCTGCTCCTCGAAAGGAACATGGGCTGTTTGGACGTGTCTTTGCACATAACAAAATTACTGCTCCCGCCAAGTTAGACGTTGGCCCGTCTGCTTGAGAGCTCGGGGTTTGCCTTCACCAGTATGTCAGCAGCACTCAGCTTCCCTCTCTCCCGCAGGTATTTCATTAAATGGGGTCGCCGTCTCCAAGTAACCTTTACTCCATACTCATGCTCGGGAGTATCTGTAACCAGTACTGCTGCTGACTCTACTCTCCCACAGGGATCAATACCGAATGCCAGCTCTTCTTCTGGATGCCAGGCGTGACTGCTTGTTTGTGGCACAGTGCTGCTGCATCTCCAGTTTGTTACGGAAGGCACCTGTGGCGTCTCTACATCTGGTGGACTAAAGACTTCTGGATCCACAGGCTCGGGAGCAGGTAACAAAGGTATTTCTCCACAGTTCTCTGGGCTGTTCACCTGGATGTTGGCTTTTGCTGCTGTCCCTTTCTTGGGCTGGCTGTGAGAGTGCTGTGTGTTCTTCCTCAAGCAATTTGGACGATCCGAGGGGTGGACTGCATATCCTTCTGGATTCTCAAAAGTTAAAGGAGGAAATTTGCAGGCTATAGCTCTTCGACGAGCTCCTCCTGCATGAAGAGAACTGTGGTTGGCATCCTGATTCTGGGGTTTGTGAGGACCACGATGTTTCTTCTGGCATGCTTTCAACACCACTGAATTAGTTGTTTCAAATTGTGGGCACACCTGAAGGGGAAGACATAGTAATAAGAAAAAAACAACAATTTTCTCCATACAAAGGAATGCCAACCTGATTCTATTCCACCACCTATCCCACCTTTTTTCAGTGTGTTCATTAAGGCAGCAAAGCAAATCAGTCACTAACCGAGCTGCTAAGCAGGAGATACCTCTGAACTTCAACATCATGTTCTGCCACTCTTGTCTGAAGTGATTGGGGTCCAAGTGAACTATTCTCTGGCAACTTAAAAAGCACTCAAGATTTGGATTTTAAAGAAAAGTCTAGCTTGTATCTACTCCTGTAACCCCTGCAGATTTAAAACAGTTCAGAGCTGGATCCTGTTTCTTTCTGTGTCTTAGCATAACTCTGAATAGATTCAACGAACTATACCCTCAGTCTCCCTGAACAGGTTGAACTGAGAGCAATATAAAATGATTTAAAGGATGCCCTCTTAGCTCCATCACCTTAGATTACGTTAATAAGGCTTTCAGAATATTCCCCCAAAACTTCTTTACTTCAAAACATAGCTAATCTCTGTATTCTGGAGTAACACATCACCCAAAAGCCACTTCTAAAATCGGCTTTCTATAGAAGATGGCCAAAGCTCAACAATCTGCCAATCTTTCAATTCTTTGAAAGATTCTGGACTCTTACTCAAATACCTTCTATTACAGTATTCTTTATTTTCCTGGGTATCAACAAAAAGAGTCAGGTTCCATTTCTTGCAATTTGCTTTTCCTTAGAGCACACCAAAAGGGGTTCTAGCTATGATAACTATAGATCACTTTCAGTGTTCCTAAGTTACTACATAGTCCCTCAAAAAACTAAGTGCAATTTAATTAAGGATAATGATCATCTGCTGTACGACTGAACTGTTTGAATGCAAAGCCTTTGTGCAGGAAAAGAGAGAAATTATTCCCTGATAATTGTTTCCTGGCACATACTGAAAAGAACATAGGTGAACCACTGACTTTGAGGATATGACTTCCTGGCTTCAGAGAACATATAGGGTAGGCTTTACCAGCGCAGGAGCCTAGCAGTCAAGAGGGTATGAAAAACTTAGATAACATCAAGAAGAGAGTAGCAGAAAATCAGTTGCCACTGAACAAGCTGACAGAAACTCTGCAGAGGATGCTTCAAGAAGTTACAAACCTACCAGGAATTTCAAATGGAAAAATATCTAACAGTTTCAGTGCTGATAGCTTCAAACACATTTTAGAATCATTGTATGTTTGGAATCAAAGAGCTAAGTACCAGTGTGAATATTTCCACCTCTACCAAACAAAAAGAATGCTTATTCACAGCAGTTATTTTACTTAGTGTTTCAGAAGCCATAGAGCTAACTGCCTCAAACATATAAAAAAAATTAAAGTGGAAAAAAATTGAACATGTTCTACTTCAAGGTTAAGGCATCACAAAAATAACTCCAGGTCACCAAGAACAAAGGAATGTTTCATGCAGGTTTGAAACCATGCTTCCTGAGCCTGCTTTGTGAAGAGCAGAGAGTCAAGCAGCAATAATGCTTAAACAGAGCTCCCCTAGGTGATGACTATTGTTGCGTAGGAACAGTCTGTCTTTGCAGCACCTGTTTGCTTAAAAAAAAAAAAAAAAAATCTTTACATTACATGATGTAAGGAGTATCTCAGGACACTGCAAACAGTCCCTGGAATATTTTTTTAGACCAGAAAAGGAGCACATCAGAAGAATGATACGGAGAGAAACTATTCAAAACACACATAATGGAAAAGAGGGCAGTTTAGAACAAATAATCCTTAAGTGAAAGCCTATGTTCTCTAAATTTAGCAGTGTCAGATTTAAACAAAACACCTAGTGCTTTAACATGTAACATTCAGAGTTCAGCAGTTATTTCAAGCAGCAAGCCAATAAAAAAATTCTCCCTAATGTTTATTATGTGCAGGCTTTTCAGTTGCCATAGAAAACAGTGTTTTCCTGATGAGAATTAGTTTTTCAGAAGACAAATAATCAGTATACACTGCACACAGTTTTATGCCTTCAAAAACCCAAGACCTTAGTGGTTGTGGTTAGAATGTGAAGCAACTCAAAAGCACTTATTTATGCTTTAGGGAGCTACAGTGAATTCAGGTCTGTGCTACTAATTTTCAGTATCCAGGACAGGTAAGTTTCTGTTGGTACATACGGGAGAAACTTGAAAACCGTTGCTGTGGGACGCAGGGGGAAGGATAATCTATACCAACCCAGGCAGCAGAGGTGTTCGGGTCCACAGGTTTTGTAGGAACATGTCTTGGATTCTCGGCCGAAGATAGTGGAGTTTCATAGCAATGGACGGGTCCCTCTCGCGGCCTCTCAAGGAATACCAGCTCTGCCTTCCTGGCCTTGCGAGTACATTTCTTCTTCGGAGGCATCAAAAGATATGGTAAAACGACTTAGAAACCTCATGATGCTTGCTAGAGCCAACTGGAGAAAGAGGAAAGCACCCCAAGGAGATGCTAAAGTGCTCTCAAATCTGTAGAATGCAAATAAATGGACTTGAAGACAAACTTGTTTGGAAACCTCAGATCTAGTATTTAACAAAAGTAAAACATTTATGCAACAGTACAATGTACACATCTCTATGCAGACTTTTTCCTACCAGTAGTTTTTGAACCTTCTGTTGAATTTCAGGTAGATTTAGAAATGCACAGTAGAATAGCAAAATGCTGCAAAGCATTCACAAAAACTGATAGCCAAATACATTGGGGGAGACAGAGACACAAACAAAACAAGTGTCCCAGCTGCAAAAGAAGTTCTGAACTGGCCTTTGGGCAAGACTCAACATTACTGGAAAGATTAGTTTCTTACGAAAATACCTATTTTGAATATACAAGACAGGCAAACTCAGATATGCATTTTTCTTCATAAAAATATTATAGAAGTAATTTGAAAGACATCCGTCTACGATAAGGCCTGACTAAAATACTGAAATACAGAACCAACTATATTAGAATAGACTTGGTCACTGGAATTTTAAGGAAATTCAAAGTGCTGGGACAGAAGAAAAAGAGAATTGGAATGGGAGTAGTTGACCAGCTGAATCAGCTATGTCATCAGCTGTCAAAGAAATTGGAAGAAAGTTTCTTCAACATTAGCTCAATATCTAGTCTAGTCACAGACAAAGAATGGTTTAGGAATTTAAAGTCAGAAAAACTTGTTTTCTTTTTTCAATTTAATCTGTAAAACTGGTTTGTAACGCTGAGATATATTGTAGGGCCAAGGTAACCAGAAGTCTTTCCATTTCTGGTTGCTAACTACCTATACTTTTTAATTTCAGGAATTTTTAAGTTTTGAAATACAGAACATACTTGACATTTCCCTCCTGTAGATATCTTGCATGATTTTTTTTTACCTAGTGAATCAGTTGTAATTGAAATGACACTGAATTTCATTTTCCATTCAAAACCAGATTAGCACAGAAGAGGAATTTTAAAGAGAACGTTTTCTGAGAAATGCATTCTCTTTACCAAATGCGTAAGACTGCAACAGCCTGACTGCTTACCAAACGGGCAGCCTCCCCAGGGAGTCCTGCGAGCCCCCCTCGCCAGACACAGCCGTAACACCCGTTAAACTGGCTGGAACTCCGGTGGCTCTTCACGAGGGATCACCCGAGGCCAGCGGCCGGCGCCACGGCTGCCTGCCCAGCGGCCGGGTGCTCCCAGCCCGAG